GGTGTAGAGATTAGAATGGTGGTCTAGACTGAGGAGACCAGGTTGAAATCCACATTCAGCCATGGAAGTACACTGGGTGACTTTGGGTCAGTGTGTTGCATCTTCTGGGTTCTGGCATCTTTGATGGTGATGCTTTTAATGTAAGTTACAATAAGCCCATGAGGAAGTAGAGGGATAAAAATAGGAGAGAAGTGGTTGCAGAGGGGAATGCTCATTAACAGTTTGAGAGAGCATCCTCTTCTGTCTGCCTCTCCTGTTCTGAGAGAAAACAAAAAAGGAGCAAGCAATTTTTAGGAAGGTGTGTATATTTATAATGTCCCCCCCTCCCCCCCCCATAGCATAAACCCTGTTGCTAATAAGTCATTCTCGTGATTTTTTTTTCCCAGCTGGATTTGAACTATACTGCCGTTGGGATTTATTAGTAGATACATTCATAGACGTCACGATCAGACATTAGGCAGTGAAGCTGCTGCAAAACACAAAGAACAATTTACTGAATGAGCTTACTAGTGAATATATTCAGTCTAGGCCGAGAAGAAGAGACTACAGGTTGCTGTCTTGTGAACTAACTCTGAGTTCCATTTGGGTCAAGAGAAAAAAAAAATCCTACTGTGCTACTCATCGTTTAACCCTAGGCTTTTGGAAATAAATATTTGTGCAAGGGCTTTTCTTTCATTGGTGCTTATTCTTTTAGTAAGAAGCCCAATATCTGTTTTAAAAATAAACCAGTGTCCTTAAGAAAACATTGTATTTAAAACCAAGGAATAGAATAAAGAACTCGTCAAGTTCATAAATGTAACCCATTCAAATAATTAAAAATAGCACTCAGTTTGGTTTAGGTTCTAATAATGCATTATTCCTTGGAGTTGTTTTTTTTTTTCATAGCATTAATTCAATGATCTCTCTCCTTTCTTTCGTAAATAGAATAATCTTTTGCTATTTGCAATGTAATGTCCTTCTCTAATGTAGGTTTTCATGCACTTTTCTCCTAATGTTTACA